CAGTTTGGGTGCTTTTAATTTATCTCTCCTTTTTGCATATTTTATCTGTGTATGAACACATGGACTTCCCAATCCTCCTCCTCCACCAAAGCAGTTTCACAAACCTCTACATCATTCTTAGAAATATTAATGTGATCATGCAGATAAAAATATTAAACATTCTTTCCTGATTTATTTTCAGGCATTACAAGATGCTACCCCCACCCCTGTTAACATGAAGCCTCTCTGAGCAGAGTTTACAATGTCTGGTAGTATTTGTTGTGAACTCTAAAGAACTCTAAAAATTCATTGATTTTGATGAACTTGAAGTTGCTGTATGACTAGTTTTGGGCAGACACACTAATGTCTGCTGAAGTTGCTGCCCAAAACTGATATCAAAGTGCCACTTTGACAATTTGTTTGAATGGCATAAAAATAGGCGTGCAAGTGGAGTGGAAGTAGATGAGAGTCAGACATTGTGGTGAACAATGGTTTGTTGACATTTACAAATATGCTTTTAGGTTTAGCTGCATTATTATTCATTTTAAAAGGAACTATAATTTTCTTAGCAGAAAAAAACACATTCTTGACAAAGTGAAATTATCTGCTTATTCACAATGGCCCTCTTGGTTTTTAGACCCTAAATGGTATAGTGATTAAGGTATGAAGATGAGGAAGCTTAGTTTTTCAAAAGTTAATTCATGAAGCTTTCTGGGTAGCTTCAGGACTAGTTCCTATCCCTCACCCCAATTTACATCATAGTGCTGTTAGGATAAAACATGCAGTAGAAAAAGCTGTGTATACCACTCCAAACTCTGTGGAATAAGGAGAGATGCAAATACTACATGTAATAGTACAGTATAGTAATATTGGATGCATCTGGTTTTCTTTTGTAAAATATAATGAAGGTTTTTTAAAGTATTAATTTATCTGAAAGAAATTTGAACCCCTCCATCTGTCCAAATAATAATCTTTGAAATCGGAAATCATCTTACATTCACTGAGAATCTGGTAATAGAGGCAGATATTGCTAAAAGTGGAGAAGCTGTCACTGTTGCTTCAAGGGGTGGGGGGTGGGGGACAGGGATCAGCAAGCTAACCTAAACTACTGTTGTCACTCTCTGAATGTTTGTTTGCAGTGAAAGTCCTCTCTATCCATGGATGTTCTCCACATGTGACAACTCTTGATAATCAGGAATCTAGTTGAATAGAGAACTTCCATGAATAGAGAAGCTCTCAATTACAGACACTTACCCAGTATATATGGAGAGCAGCGAAGGGAGGGGGACTGCCACACTGATTGAACAGGACTTGAGACTTTAGATAAGAGCTACTGAACACTTACATAAAGCACATACACCCCTATTGATTTGTTTCCTTTCTATGTGCAGGAGAAAACAGCTCCAGTATACCACAGATCTCTCCCAGTTTCCACCACCATTGCATAAGCTAAATGCAGTTAAAGAAATTTATCTCCAGCATAGCAGTAGCCTATGGATATTTATCTGGGAATTAAAGCCACTGAAATCAATGGAACTTATTAAACGACAAACATGTATAGGTGGATGCTTGTTGAGCCCAACTTCCTACAGTCTTGTGGGGGGGTGTGTGCTTGTGTATGTGTCTGTGTATGCATATATTTATCTCTGTGGGAGTGTGTGTGTGTGTGAGAGAGAGAACATGGTTTGTGTGTATGTGAATTTTTTTTTAAGAATGACAAGGTTTCACAGTAAAAATGGGGTGAAGAAACTGAGGAAATAAAATAAGGGTAATGTTAACTTTTAACAGGAAGCAAATTATGAAATATGCCCAAATCTATCTCCTTAAAATATAATTAGCTTAGAGACGTGCATTTTTTTCTTTCCATACATCCTTCTTGTATGGTGTACCACTCAAGGGAAAACTTATATGTAGTATTTCATTCAAAGAACTGTTCTGAGTCTTAAAATTACTTTACATGTATTTTGGAACATGATGATGCTATTCTGTTTCAGTTTTTTAAAGCAGCCTGACAGTACTTTATTGCATTTAAAATTCATTCATTACCCATGCATATCACACTCATCTATACAACTCTGAAAAATCTAAAAAATGTAGCATTTTTCAGGAACTTAGAACTCTGCTGCTCTATCTCTTCGCCTTTGATGTCAAACACAGCATCATCACCAACATAAGTGTCCTGCCTCCCTACCCCCAGAATAAGATGTATTCCTTCTTTGCTTAAAACATTGTAAGCATCCAAAGAATGTGAGACCAGTTGCTCATATATGAATTATTTCCTCTTTTGTGGGGGGAAAATATGGTAGTATAGATTTCTGAAAGTTTAATGCATATAGAACTGTTTCTGTATACACAAAATTAGATGGAAAACTTCTAGAATTGTTTACTTTATACTGTTTATGGGGAATCTAGTTTTTAAATTTTCTCTTCTATAAAAAGACCCAGTGAAAACTAAAAACACCAGAGAGGGCAGAACCAGGGATTTTATACATGGTATGCTAGTTCACAGGAATTTTAAAAAAGTATTATTCCCAGTTGCAGGTAGTAAATTCTACTCCAAATTTCTATTTGACTTCTGTTCCATGGTAATACAATAGTATAAATTCAACTAACAATTTCCTCTAGAACTGTAAAATGTGATTTGATGGATGTTTGTTTTTGAACTTATACAGTCCATTTTCATTTAGTTTTTAAACGGATTTGATATTTTATATCTATCCATAGTATTTGTATATTTCACATCCTCCTATGTTTGTGGCTTATAAATCATATGAAGAGATAGAGCAGCAGAACTTCAAACTTAGAATTATTGTCTATGCAAGATACTTCATTTTAAATGCACTGAATTTTTTTGACACAACTGATAGCCTGCAAAGATTTTTGAGAAAAAAAGAGATGTTGTATTGTTCTATATTTAAAAAAAGGAGAAAAGTTCCGTAATGTGAAAACGTATTCTGAAGCTTCTAAGTTCCTGTAAAATGCTACATTTTTTAGATTTTTCAGAGTTGTATAGATGAGTGTGATATGCATAGGTAATGAATGAATTGAAAAATTATTGAGTTAGGTTTGCATTTAGTTGCAGTCATTGTGCTGGCAAGAAAACAGCAAGCACCAGCTGAACAGGGAGGGAGGTGGCATTAAGTTCTGTCTCTCTCTCTCCAGATTCCTGTACCCCCTAGATCTTTTCTAAAGGAATTAAAGGATACTCCAGAGAATAGTTAGGACAGAGGGGAGGAGAAATTGATCACTGCTGAATATAACCCTTAAGGTTGGAGTAGCCAGTTTTCAGGATTATAAGCCTTTTAAACTGCTGCCCAACAAATAGAGTACAAAATAGTGATTCAGGAGGGTGATCAAGTACTAAGAATGAAGGAAACTTTGTTTCTGGCAGTATGCTCAATTGAAGGAAGTGTGATTGGTACCAGAACTAAGATTATAAATCCTTTCACATACATTCCATTTACAATTTTGTCGCAATTAATCCCATTACCCTTTCAGAATCCTTTTCTGCAACATAATTTAGTCAAGTAAATCTCCTTAGTTCTTGCTATTGCTGGATAATTGGGTGTCAGAAATTTTGCAGTTTATTGCACATCATCTAGGGACCTACCAGTAGATAGCAATTTCTCTTTTGCCCACCCCTAGCTTAAAGAATAAATAGAAGAACAAAAGAAAAAAGGAAAAGAAAATCAAACCATATTAAACCAACTGGTTTATCCTAATCAAGCTGAACCAACTTTGATAGTTTTAAAAAGCTTATTTTCTTGTTACTATTTCTATTCTAAGATGCTTCTGAAATAGAATAACTGAGAAAACTCCAAGCTTATTAGCACCAAACTTTATATTTTTGTGGTGTTACACTGTCTCATATATCATGGAAAGATTAAAGTCATAACCAGATGATAATCATATATAATATAGTTTATAATCATAAAATAGTCCTAAAGTCACAAGGTCATATTTGTGCTTATTCTTTACAAGTTGATGAAAATGAGATTCATAAAAATCATTTTTAAACGTTATACAATATATTTTATTATTAGACGGATATATGGAAAAAAGCAAATGTGATAAAAAGGATTGGAAGCTATATAAAATCAATGATTGAGGATTATTCTTTAGAAAACATGAACTTAAGACAGCATTTTAAAACTATGTAACTTATTTGCCTTTTCAAAAAAATAAATGGGCTAATTATTTATGCTGTTGCAAACTCATCTTCTGCATATTTTTGGCTACAATAGAAGTTACTAAATTCAAAAGAATAAGATTGGGTATTGTTTTCTAGTACAAAAAATTAAGTATTCATTTAGATAATTTAGGATAAGTTTTCTGATAGTTAACAAGAAAGTTATGAAATAGTCCACGCCCCCCGGCTGCCCCCCAGCAGCCGGGAAGGCCAGGTGGAAATGGCCAGGGAGGCGATGGCGCTGCTCTTCCCCGCCCTCCCCATCATGCTGGGCCTCTTCTTCTCGGTCTGCAGGGTCGTCAGGCTCACCGACCGGATCGCGGGCGATGCCCACCAGCAGCTGAAAACCCAGTTTGTGCAGTTTGCAGAAGGCGCCTTCCCTTTGAAGGCGTTTGCCTATAAGCCAGAGCCAGTGGGCCAGATAGAACTGGCAGCAGGTTGCCTTTTAGCCTTTGGATCTCAACTGCTGCAGGAGATCAGCAATTTTGTGCTCACCATTATCATGATAGCTGCCATCTACAGCCTCTTGGCTTTGAAACAGCCTTTTGCCGTGTGCATACCTGCCACTGTCTCCTTGGGCCTTTCGCTCCTCCTCAACATCCAGCCAGGGAAGAGGGAAGTGCATGAAGTCAAAGTCTGAGTGAGGCACGGAGAAGGTGATCTGGAGAGATGGGAAAGATCCAAAATGTAGCTTTTGTTATGAAATAGCAAAAGAATATCTTACTGTTGCAGAAGTGGTGTACAAGTAGAGTACAAATATTTTAAATTAATGAATTTTTTAAAATATAACAAAAATGTTAACAGTATTTTATTATATGTTTCCCCCGAATAGGTGACAAAGAAAGTAAAGTCAATGCAGATGTTTCATACACCAGTAACTTATGCCATGCAAGGGGATAGGGCTGGAATCTGTGTAACCCAGTTTGATCCAAAGCTGTTGGAACGAGGCCTGATTTGTACACCTGAATCTCTCCAGACGATCCATGCTGCCATTATCTCTTTAAAGAAAATCCCATATTTTCGAGGTACTCTTCAGACAAAAGCAAAGTTTCATATTACAGTTGGCCATGAGACTGTTATGGGAAGAGTGATGTTCTTCAGCCCAACTCCTAATGACTTCAGTAAAGAACCTATGGAAAATTATTTTGATTTTGAAAAGGAATACCTTTATCAAGAGGAATATCTTTCCAATGATTCAAAGTCCTCAGAAGAAAACAAGGAGAATGGCCAGGTTGGAGAAAGACAGCTCCCGAAACAACAGTGGGCCTTACTTGAGTTTGAAAAACCAGTTACTTGTCCTAAATTTTGTCTTGTAATTGGCTCAAAATTGGACACTGATATTCATGCAAATACTTGCAGATTGGCATTTCATGGGATACTTCTCCATGGAATGGAAGAAAAAAATTATACAGAGGAATGTCTGCCAAAACTCAGGGTTTACAAGCTGAAACATAAGGAAGGACAAGTGGAACGGGTAAGCTTGTATGATATATTGTGAGGTTCCCTTGGATGCACAAGATTCTTAATATGGGAAAGGGAAATTAGGAAGGGAATATAAAGGAAAGGAGATTCCCTTCCCTTAATAAGTGGTTCGCCCCTTCTCAAGAAACCATCACTGGACCCAACCTTACTGGACAACTTTCATCCAGTTTCCAACCTTCTCTTTTTAGGGAAGGTTGTTGAGAAGGTGGTCACACGACAGCTTCAGAGGATTGTGGATGAATCTCATTATCTGGACCACTTTCAGTTGGATTTCAGGCCTGGCTATGGACTGAGATAATATTGGTTGTGCTTTTGGATGACCTCTGGCATAAGTGAGATGGGGTAGTGCATCAATCTTGCTCTTGTTGATCTCTCAGCAGCTTTTGATACCACTGACCATGGTATCCTTCTGCACCGGCTCTGGGAGCTAGGGGTGGGTGGTTCTCCTCCTTCCTCCAGGGTTGATTCCAGTCAGTGTTGATTGGGAGAAGTCCCACTCTTGCCCCTCTTTGTGGGGTTTCTCAGAGTTTGGTATTCTCCCTCCACTCCTGTTTAACATCTACATCTGACCAGATAGGCCAGTTAGGAAACACGACCAGATAAGCTAATTCTATTTTATGGCAAAGCTACATTAACAGAATCTTGCAAGTCTGAAAGTACAATTCTCCCACCTTCACCTTTACAGCCTGAGAACTTAGGGAGGGTCCCTTCTGAGCCCCTTGCTCCACCACTATGCAGCTGCAGGCTATGCTGTCTCTTATCTGACCACTCCCTAGGCAGCATCTGTTGCCCCGTATCCCAAGGTCTTTCCCACATACCATTACAACATGAAACTGCTGGGTGAGGTCATCCATCGCCATGGGGTGAGGTATCATCAATACACTGATGATACCCAGCTTTATGTCTCTGACTCCGGCGAATTAAGCAATATTGTCAAGATCCTGTCCCAGTGTCTGGAGGCTGTAGGGTTCTGGATGGGGAAAACAGGCTTCAGCTCAACCCTAGCAAGACTGAGTGGCTTTGGGGGCCTGCAGTTTCCAGGGAATTAAGCATCTTTGGTTCTGGAAGGGGTGGCACTGCCCCAAACAGACCTGGTGCACAATCTGGGGGTTCTCCTAGACTCATGGCTCCTCTCAAAGAGTAGGTGGCACAGTGGCCAGGAGGGCCTTTGTGCAACTTTGCATTGTGCACCAGTTGCACCTGTTCCTGGACTGGGAGGCTCTGTTCACAATCACTCATGCCCTGATCACCTCTCAAATGGATTACTGTAATGCACTCTACATGGGGCTGCCCTTGAAGAACATCTAGAAGTTGCAGTTGGTACAAAATGTGGCAGTGCAGGCAGCTATGTACACTCCTCAATCAACACGTTACATAACCTCTGTTCTGTGAGCTGCATTGGTTGCCAGTATGCTTCCAGATTCAGGTCAAGGTGCTGATACGACCTATAAAGCCCTATATGGCATGGAACTGGGTTATTTGAGGGACCACCTCTCTCCATCCCATCAGGACTTGTGGGAGAAGTACAGTGGGGCAAAAAAGTATTTAGTCAGCCACCAATTGTGCAAGTTCTCCCACTTAAAAAGATGAGAGAGGCCTGTAATTTTCATCATAGGTATACCTCAACTATGAGAGACAAAATAGTTCCAAGTGGATGATGGTCACTTGGAACAGCAGAAAAGGCTCTCTTCCTGGGTCCCACCAGATGACACTCTTTTGTAGACCGGACCCACAACATACAGTGGGGCAAAAAAGTATTTAGTCAGCCACCAATTGTGCAAGTTCTCCCACTTAAAAAGATGAGAGAGGCCTGTAATTTTCATCATAGGTATACCTCAACTATGAGAGACAAAATGGGGGTCACTAGGTCCCCCCATGTGGTTCTGGGATTTTTGCTCACCGTTCTTGTGATCATTTTGACCCCACGGGGTGAGATCTTGCATGGAGCCCCAGATAGTTCCAAGTGGATGATGGTCACTTGGAACAGCAGAAAAGGCTCTCTTCCTGGGTCCCACCAGATGACACTCTTTTGTAGACCGGACCCACAACATACAGTGGGGCAAAAAAGTATTTAGTCAGCCACCAATTGTGCAAGTTCTCCCACTTAAAAAGATGAGAGAGGCCTGTAATTTTCATCATAGGTATACCTCAACTATGAGAGACAAAATGGGGGTCACTAGGTCCCCCCATGTGGTTCTGGGATTTTTGCTCACCGTTCTTGTGATCATTTTGACCCCACGGGGTGAGATCTTGCATGGAGCCCCAGATAGTTCCAAGTGGATGATGGTCACTTGGAACAGCAGAAAAGGCTCTCTTCCTGGGTCCCACCAGATGACACTCTTTTGTAGACCGGACCCACAACATACAGTGGGGCAAAAAAGTATTTAGTCAGCCACCAATTGTGCAAGTTCTCCCACTTAAAAAGATGAGAGAGGCCTGTAATTTTCATCATAGGTATACCTCAACTATGAGAGACAAAATGGGGGTCACTAGGTCCCCCCATGTGGTTCTGGGATTTTTGCTCACCGTTCTTGTGATCATTTTGACCCCACGGGGTGAGATCTTGCATGGAGCCCCAGATTTTTGTCTCTCATAATTGAGGTATACCTATGATGAAAATTACAGGCCTCTCTCATCTTTTTAAGTGGGAGAACTTGCACAATTGGTGGCTGACTAAATACTTTTTTGCCCCACTGTATGTTGTGGGTCCGGTCTACAAAAGAGTGTCATCTGGTGGGACCCAGGAAGAGAGCCTTTTCTGCTGTTCCAAGTGAACATCATCCACTTGGAACTTAGATTGGCCTGACCCTCCCAGCTTTTAGGAAGGTCCTGAAGACATGGCTCTGCCACCATGCCTGGGGGTCTGGCAGTGGTGGAGAGTTTCTACAGTGGCTGTGTTGAACTGATGTAAGGATAGATTCTGTCGCTGATCATGATTATTTTTGTTTTAAAATGATTATTGATGGTTTCATATGTTTGTATATTGGTTTTTAAATTTGCTTTTATTGGATTGTTGTTTTTACCTGTTTTGAGCCACCCAGAGTCACGTAGATGAGATGGGTAGCCATACAAATTGAAATAATAATAATATAATGATAATAATTCTACAGTTGAAATGAACTAAGTTGCTAATGTTGGTGAGTTAGATCCAGAGTTGTCCCAATTTCTTGGCTGAACCTTCAGATATTTCAAATAGGGCTAAACGTTTACTGGAAATTCTGCAGGAAGCTTGGTTTTCTGCAGAGCTCAGGATAATAGAAAAATAATTTCTACAGCATTTTCTCCTCTTTGCTGGAGTATTTCTTTAATATAAAAATGGTTATGGAGACATAGAGGTACAGCATTTTTAATATACAGTGTAATGTTCTAATAAACGTAATTTGTGTTTACTTACAGTATGTTGTACATTAGATAGATGGTTTGGAGAAAACAGCAGCTGAATGTTTGCTCCCTGTGGGGAAAGTATGAACAAATGGGTGATGAAATCATTGAGTGCTTTAAGAAAAGTCCAGACTCTGGTTTCATAGAATACTGATTCAGACGGTCCCACCCTATTGCTGATAGATGTCTGGAGATTAGAATAACTGAATTTACAGTGTCTATTCTTGACATTGATAGAGAAAAACTGTGTTCTCTTTGTCAAGGAAGGAAGTGGGTGGTTGCCTCCTTCTCTCAATGCTGTAGGAAGGCACTAAATAATAATGGTGTTTTATACACATAGACACACACACTCTCTCACACATCTCCCCCCCCCAAGGAATTGGTATTTCCCTTAACATATTAAAGGGGGGCAATTTAGCTTCAGAATCTCTAGGAGAGTTAAAATAAAAGGACAGGCTTACTTTCTGTAGCTTGCCAGTTTCATGGGATTCTGTTTCTGAAACAAATATGGGGAAATTTCATGTAAGTTTAATTGACTTTGTTGTTCACCCTTGATGATAAAATGTATGCAGCTTCTCCCATTATTTAGTGGCCAGTTCATCATGACATTCAAATCAGGCAATGATGGATAAGATATTCCTCTAATTATTAGGTTACCACACTACTTCCATTGTACCCACAAAGTCCATGGTTTTGTTCTGCTTTTCTACAAACAGACAGAAGTTGCTAAAGATTTTACGGCACTCACCAGAGAATTAACAGGTTTTTGCTCACTGTTTGTTTGTTTTCATTCAGAAATAATAATGGTTTTGATAGCATAAATTAAGTAATAGTAAAGAGTTGGCTTCAGACACTTTTTATTCTAGTGCTATAACTGCTACTTTCAACAAGATCTCCTGCTACTCACATAGCTATGGACACTATCAGCAGCTAAGAAGTATAACTGTGAGCACTCAATCAGCATACAAATGTCCTAGAAATTACATGGAAGAATTCTTAGAATTCTTAGAACTGCTTAGAATTTCACTTCTTTCAGTAGCACCAGTATAAGCACTGTAATGAAGTATTTTACCTACATTCCTGCCCAATGCTGTCCCATAGGTTTGTATGTGTGATTGTGTGTTTGTATGTGGAAGAGAGAGAGAGAGAGAGGGAGACAAGGAAAGAGACTATGTGGGCTAGGATAATAATGCCTAGATTTCTCTTACCCAGTTGAGCCTTCATAATGGCTATAAGAGCAATAAAACATTCATACTTCTCCCTTCTTATTTTGTTCGTGGATTGTTGCCCAGCAGCCTTGCTTAAGGTTGCTTTTTTGAAAAAGTCAGGCATGAAGAACTGCCTCCTGGCTGCTGCGGCTTGTAGATACAACATTTCACTGATGAAATTACTCACATTCAGTGTAGTTTTGACTTATCATGGGCAGAATCTAGGCAATGTCTTGGAGCCTTATCTAGGACTCCTTTTAGCCTGTCAACTCCAGTGACATGAAAAAAGTTATGCTTGCCCCTCCTGGCACCTTCAGGTTGTTGGGGCATGGTGAAAAGTTGGGTTTAGAAGGCGACCAATGTTCTTTGAGGGAGAGGCCATTACTGTCTGCCTTAAAGGAGA